TTGATCAAAACTTGCACGAAATTCGAAATCAGAAGTCCGAAAAAATAACTCCATAACAACCTCATTTTAGAAAGTTAAAATAGGCCACGATTTCCCTGACTTTAAGTCATTTACCCGAATTGAAATGCCAACTAATGACCGGCGATCTTAAAATCGGGTATCATCGGCTTCCTTTAGTTACGGTAGGACGTTCATGTTTTCGCGAAGCTATAGTTCGGTAAGGGACTGAACGATTGGGGATCAAACAGAATTCCCCCCCCCCAAATTATATGCTAGCGGCTGAAAACGCGGTCACGGAAAGAGCATACAAACACATAAGTCCTTAATCCTCACCCGTACTGGTGTTTTGCCAGCCGCGAACGTATATGGGGGGGGGGGGTCCGTTGGATAACTAGTTTGTTACGAGAGACGCCCATTTCGAGGTTTAAAGTCCATGCTATTAAAAGCCTAATTTCAGGTATTTAAAATAATCTTGAACCGACCTGTGACCTCGGAACTCCACTTGAAGGTACTCATCAGAAGCGTCTCGTAGCGTTATTTTGTTTGCTGCCTCGCCCGTTTCGCTGCGCCTCGAGCTATGGGCTATTGGCTATGGGTTCTCGAGCTATGGGCTGGGAAAGTTTACCCCCCTCCCACCCCCACCCAGCAAGTGGTGTGTGGCGAAATACTCCAGCAACTGCCGGGTTAACCCTCGCCCGTATTGGTGTTTTGCCAGCCTCGAACGTATAGGGGGGGGTGGGGGGCGGGTCCGTTGGACCGCCCCCCCTTGCCGTTTGGCCCCTGATCGAGCTAGAGCTTCGAGAAAAAAAAACGAGCGTGCTGCTCGTGACGAGAGGAAGCTGGGGACCGGGGTGATACCCAATTTTAAGGTCCTAGGTCATTGGTTGACTTTCCAGGTCAGGTCAATGACCCACAAGTCTGGAAAATCGGGACCTGTTAGAACAGCGTAAAGTGAGGTTGATGAGGGCTTTTTTCGGGGTGCTGACCACGAATATCGTGTCAGTTTTGATCACAGATGATGTCTTAATGCATTTAGGCCAGGTCAGGTCAGGTCAGGCCAATCAGTGGACGTCCTGCCAGGTATTCATAGTACGTGTCAGCCGTTACTGACAGGCTGACAGCTTCGTAACATGTTACGAAGACACCAAAGCAACTTTGTAAATGTTCAAATGGTTGCTTAATTCGAAATCAGCTCCAAAAAGTAGCCTAGAAACATGTAAAACTCGAAGAAGTGAACCTAGGTCATCAAAGGTCAATGGTCTGACCTGACCTTCAGGTGACCTTGACACCCACCATAATGCATAGGACCAACATCATATCACATGTTTGAACGTTTGGAACCGCAAAAATACTGCAAACGCGCGGCTAATACGAGCCGACATACGCCGAATCGCGATTCCGGCCAAACATGGTCTCGAAAAATAGGCCACAGGTCAAGGTTCATTTGGGACAGGGTCATGAAATTTTGGGGGTAGGTGTACAATTGATTGACTCGACAGTACTGAAAGTTTCATCGCGATCAACCGCTTTTTACGCGAGTTATTCGCGAAAAACCATGGGGGTGGTGGTCCGTTTGATCCCCCCCCCCCCCTACACGGGCGAGGGTTAAGTCAGTTAAATTTCTTTTGCAGTTTTCAATTTAATTTACGAATTATGTTCCGGCAGCTATGGTCAAAATGAGCAGAATGCTGCTCAATGTACCAAGCGCCACTTCGTTCTCCGGCCTGCAGAGAGCGGGGATGTAAGTCAGGTACGGCCTTGGCCGTTTCCTCTGGGGCCGCGCCGTCTGCCGAGGGAGGGGAGACCTTGCCCAGTCTGAGGGAGGGGGACGACGGCGCCGCCGGGACGCCCCGTCGCTCCGAGACCGGCGCTCACTGTATAAACAAGCAAAAAACGCTGGCCGTGCAAAGCTTGGCTGTGCTTTGACAGAGGAGGCATCTGGCGGAATATTTCGTAACTACGCAAACTTCTAACAAAGATGTCGCTTGAAGCGCAGTTGAGATTGTAGGTTTTGATCCAACTGAAAATTGACATCTCAATAACGACGAAATGATGTAAATTTATATGAAATGGTTTTGTATGATGCGTACTTTGATTAATGCCATTAATTTCCACTGCCTTTTTGTGTGAAACGATTTTGTACCTTGCGATTTTGTATGACACGATTTTGTATGCTGCGCTTTTGTATGTTTTGACTGTCCCCTACCCGGCCTGTTTTGTAGGTTTTGCGTGTTGTATGTTACGGTTTTGTATGTTTTGATGATTGTATGATAAGATTTTGTATGCTTTGATATGGAGCCGTCGAGTTATACTGTCGGATAAACCCGACATGTGTCCGGTACACCGCAGGCCGCTAATAGGCTCACAGTGGCTCAGTAGCCGGAACTGGGTATAAAATTACCCCCCGTAAAGAAATACTCAGTTTCTCCGAATGCTAAAAAAAAAAAAATAAACACCATCATATATTTTCAGCCGATTGAAAACCTTACCTTACCTTACCTTACCTTCGTGGTGATCGGGATTGAAAAGGCCACTTGGCCTGGGGATCCCGCTCTCATCGAGCTCGTGTCGGGATACAGGCTAGGCTCTCAGGGGCCTAGCCTGTATAAAACGACATGTGTAAAACTGTAGCCTGTAGCCTGTGTAAAACGACATTAAAATGTTATTGATTAACACCCAGCATCCAGCCGTTTTAAATTAAGTGATGCATTGCCATCACAGATCCAACAAGGTTCCGTTACTGCCGAATTCTTCGCGCTGAGGCCGGTTTCCACATCCCGGCGGGATGAAGCTATTAGAATGTATAGTCGCCACACCCTCCCACACACTGAACTACACAGGCTCGGCGGGGGATTGGAGCCTTCGACGCTAACATGCTAGTGTAGCGGAGTTCACGGTGGACCATTGAGGGCCACTCCTTCGCTGGCAGCCGCTAATCGGCGGCCTTCCCGCAGCTGCCGGGTCGATGGCTTCCCCGGCCGTGTAGTGGCTGTCTGCACGGATGTTCAGTGTGTGTGACTGTCTGCGCGGCTGTCTTGGTATGGGTCGGGCTGTCACCACGACCGTCCGTCTCTTTGGCCACGTGTGTCCGCCTGTCTGCCTGTCTGAAGGAGCATCTTCCAGCTATATCCGGAGGTCAAAACACCGGTGTTCTAACTTCTGAGTTCTAGCTCCGAAAGGTCTAACACGTTGAAATTATTTGTCGTTAGTTGAAATTATCTTTGGGATAAACTCGGAGGACTCGCAACAGTTCCGATCCGGCCACCTTCCCTGATTGCTGCAATTTCAGTGATATCGCAGCCCTGCAACCTTCCAAGATGGAACTTATCGAATGACTGCGTCGGTAACGTTATGTTGCGACAGGTGACCGCTTTCCGACAAGTGACCCGTGACCAGAGCTGCTTCTGAAAGTTGACCGCTGTATGTGCCATTATTTTCCTACGGCTGACTGGTGCGGGGCCAGTCAAGCGAATTCGGTTTTCCCGACTAGCTGCAGTGACCGGATGACCGGTCAGACTTGGCTGGTCTTTTCGGCCGACCAGTGGCGGCTGGTCAGACCCACTGGTCTCCCGTACTGACCAGACACTGATCTCACCGATCTCCCACTGATCTCACCACTCGGAGCAGTGTATGGTTTTGTTGGTCTCCCCTGCTCACCCATTGACAGTTGGTCAGTCTCCCGAGGCCCCACTGACCAATAGTGACCAAAGTATGGACCTACTGGTTTCTCTGGCTGACCAGTGATGATGGTCAGACCCACTGGTCTCCCGTACTGACCAGCAGTGATCAGTGTATGGATTCGATGGTCTCCCCGGCTGACTATTGGCAGTTGGTCAGACTGAGCTGCTCCCAGATGCCGACAGTCGCTAATGGGACCACCCGGCGGGCGCCCAGTTTGTTCCCGGTGATTGGACAAAACTCGCGTGACCGAACACAGCCGCCAACAATGAGCGATCGAACCGACAACAGGTTAGACCAGACCAGGGCCAAAAGTTCTTGTTCATTCTAATGGAGCAATCGATCAACCATGCTGGAATATAAATATAGACTGTTTTGTGTTCAGATCAATTTATTTAGTTTATTTTTCTTCATCTCACTCTCCACCTCATTCATTCTGAATTCTCGATCCCAGGGACATCACCGCAGCCGAGACACTTCACGTTGATCGTGCCTTTAATGTTCCGATGCCGTCACAGCAGTCGTATCTCATCCTACATGCTGTCCGGCCCGTCAGCGACCTATGGTGACATTGCTGACCAGGTCATGTCTGAGCCCTGTCACCCTATACACTTCCCTGTAGGCGCTGTCAGATGCTTCATCAACCTGTGCACGGTGGCAGAGGGGCCGGACCCGTGGCAGGGTCGGAATGTCGAAGCTGTTCGACAGCCGATGATTATGGGACAAGATTTACCGAACGGGAATGGCAAGGAACTGTTGGCGAGGCCCACCTACAACTGCTACATACATGGGACGGTACAAGGAATGACTTCGATATATCACTTCACCCGTAAAAAAGAACACTTCCAGCCGAGTCGGCACCATTGCCTGCATGGCTGCGAGCGATTGATCGCTATCACTAAAACGAGATCGTGAAATTACAGGCATTTATCCTCAGCCGTGCTGTGAAGGTTAGCACCACGTGTGTGTGTTGGTAAAGAAAAATCATCGTTATCTGATCAACGCGTCATCGCAGATCGGACATCACGCTCATGACAAGCATCGGTCGACCGGCTGCATGCACGCACATAAGGCATCGTAAGTCAAGGAAGACAAAGATGGGGCTGCAACGTAAAGCTATTCACAGCTTACACACAGATTACAGACGAACACACGATAAGTGACATCTTCCCATCCCGAGCTATTATGCCCGCGGGAACGTCTCGATGTCATCCTCATGAATTGTTATGTTAGTATACGGACGGTGCGCGATAATACAATTCTAAAGCCGTCACTTGTCAGTAATTTATGTGTACCCATCATCTTACAAGGCATTGCCTTACCTGTCAGCAGGTCAACTTCTGGCGGTTCTTTTGTGGGGGAGTTCTTCAGGTGATGTGTTGATTTGGAGTGGTCGCGCCGCCGTCTCCTTCAGAGCCGGATAAATGCGCCTCTGATGAGTGCCCCGTGCCGATCTATTGTGCTCATTTTGCATTAGTCCATAACAGCAGCTGTATCATCCGCTATATCAGTTACTTTATCACTCCCTGGATCAGTCACAGTATCAGCCACTTTGAAACACCTTGAGCACCTCACACGCCCCCTAGAGTATCGTCCCGCCGTGATCCTCGGCACCTTCCACGGATTCACCTGACACCTCTCAGTCCTACGGCACACTGCAGTCTCCGCGCCGCACGTGCCACCGGCGCTCCACCCCGCCGTCACGTCACGTCACGAGGAGGCGTCACGGCCCGCGCGGCGCTCCGAGGAGGCGTCACGGTACCGCCGGGCACGCTGTGACGGCGGCCGGTGCACGCGGAGTGTCGGACACCAGCCAGCGGGCCGACCGACCCCAGCACAATGCTCCGTCGGCTACCAGTCACGACCAGCAACACGACGAGCCGGCAACGAGCACCATGGAACCGACCGGCCTCACCGGCGGACCGTGCGCCTACTGCCATCTAGCGGGAATATAGAGAATGAGTGGTAAGCGGACTGACCGGCTGACGGCAGCAACAGCGCAGCGCAGTCGACTGGGTGTTTTGGTGCAATATCACCTCGAGGCTCGAGTAATCGAAGTCGGACCGGTGCCGACGTCTGACGCTCGGGCATTACGTTCTGAAGTTAATGGGTCGGGATGGGGGCTGCCAGGCCTAGTTTGGTGTACCTATAAGACGACGACGACAGCGTCAAGCCATGGACCGACGCATTTGGAAATTGAACTCAATAATCAATATTCTAGCTGTCTGATGTAAGTTTCATAAACTATCCTATGGCAGGCCAGCTAGTCCTAGTTTAATGCAACTCATCCGGTCATTGTCATACATTATTGTTACTGGTTAGGACCAGCGCAGTTGTATCCCTATTCCCTGATAACACTGCCCTACCCAGCGGCCAGCGCCCGGACTGACGTCCACCCGCCAACCGATAACCGGCGTTTGACAATTCGTAAGGAAGCATGCCTCTCCCTCTGGTGTCACCCTTTGAGTGGTTGGGTGAGGCGACCTGTCCTACCGGGTCATTTTCGTTCCGACTGCCGATGTGATAAGCCACTGCTTTTATGTGGCTCTCCGGTCGGTGAATCACGGGCGCACCTACCCATCGGGGGCACCAGTCCACCGTCCAATGTCCCGCCGATTCCATGGCTGTGAAGCGGTCGCAGACGACGGAATAGCGTAACCCCTCCTCGCCAAAAAAAAAAAAAATCCATCACGTAGGTACTGGGTACTGTTCAAGCAAGATGCGTATTGCTGTAATCCAGCCTTACACTTTTCAATGCCTTTCTGATGGACGATAAGGCCGGGACCTACCTTAGTGACCTATGTATATGCTGTTTTTTTATTACAGCGATTTGAATGATAGTTGATTTCCAACCATTGGGTACCGACATTTAAATTGAGTTGAGATAGCAAGGCTGACGTGGAACTCGAAAAAGTACGGGCCGCGATATTCATTTGACTCTTATCTATGTGGTTATAAAAATGTTTTCCTTTATATAGGCCTGTAAGTCCGTAACTCTTCAACATGGGAGTCCTTTGAGTACGCCGTCTAATAAATGTTCTTTACCTGGCGTTGACTTCAGCCGGTCTCTAAATGAATGTCTTGAATAAAGGAAACCAGTGATGTTGTTCAACCAAAACCAAAATCTCTGAGGATTTAGTTTAAGCTGCGGCAGCCCCTCCTTTGGATTCGTCCCATCCGGCTCCTTGGCACTGGCTGTGGAATAAATAGTCAATGGAACAGCGATAAATTCTCCTGAAATGTCCGCCCGAACTGGCTTTGTATGGCAGGAGCAAAGTTTCAAACGGAAGTGGCCATTTGGAAGGAGGAAACGTCCCACGCCATAACTCACAAGTTACATTCATATTGCGGCGTTCGAAAGCAAGCGGAAAAGTGTCTTTGTGTGGATGTGACGTGAAGCACATCTGCATGGAACATCTATTATAATTCCTTTCAGCCTGACAACTTCTTTGACAAATGATGTAATAGCGCTGGCGTGACCTACTAGTTTTCTTTTCACACCTCGGCCGAGGAAGGTATAGTCAGTGACTTATTTTGCAACTTGTCTAGCGAATTCGTATTGAGCTATAAGGCATTGCCAAAAACAACAAATGCGCCGTTGCGAGACGCAGCGATCCATACCCGATTTAAATGGGTCAGGTCAATCCGTGACCTCTATTGGGGTCTGACCAACCTTCCACCTCCATGCAGTACCATCTCCAACATTTTTATTCTTGCTGTCTGAAGACGGAAGAGGTTCACTTTGATGACATCCAAAAAGTGCCGAAAGATCTGACGTGAATCAAAGAAAATGTACGCTAAATTTACGCGGGCCTCTGACTGCAACGCGCTCCTACCGAGCAGCAGCTCCTGTCGGCCGGGCTAGACTGCCTTTATGTATTGTTTTCTTGGTGATACATTTAAAGTTCATTCATTTCATAAAGTCCGGAATGTTATTGGTGATATTGTTGAATGTTGATGCGGTAATCGTTACCTACTTTTGAATCATTGAATGTGGAAATGGGGTAATAAATTGTTGTCAGTAGTTGACAACCTATAGGGTCGCTCGACCACTCAAAATACAATATAAACGCTGGCTCTCTGAAGGTGTGCGAGTGTCAGGTTTGTCTGTGGACCAATTACTTAACTACTTAGCATTGTGTTTAAACGTGCTAATTGAAATACACTCGCGCTTGCTATCTCTGTTTGTGTCTCAGCTGCACGCAGTAATTAGAGCAGCGTTTGCTTGGGTTGGCCGCTGGCGCGTCCTTATCCTTCCACTGACAATGCGAGTGGGGTGATATCAGCGGACCGGCTGTCCCACTGCCTGAATCATCACCAGACCGTGAAGGGCCGGCGCGGCAGATGAGCGGAGACGAGGAACACGGAATACGGAGGAACTCCGTATCGTCGAGCTGAACACATATAAGGCGTTTTCATTGCTCTAGCATGCCTCTATCAAAAGTTATTTGCGAAAAACTGTTAGATACCATTCGTGACCTAAGATGACCTCTGAGGGCACAAACAAGGGTCACAGACACCATTTTCATGTTCAATGTGTCTAAACCACTTGTAATTCGGTGTTTGGGAGAGTTTATAATGTCTTTCGTCCAAAAGAGGCGCATTTCAATTTTCTCCCATTGACTTATAATGGGGAGGTCGCAAAATTGACCTGACCTTAGGTCATCGATATCAAAATTCTGAGATATACATTTTGTACATGCTATTGCTCTTAGCAATCGCTGAAAGTTTCAAAGCGATCGGTCACTCGGTGTAGCTATGACAGACATTGAAACTTTTTATGAGGTGAGGTCACTTCAAGTGACCTGGTGACCTGACCTTGAATGACCTTGGTCTGAAATTTTCACAACATGTGTAGAATTGATGTATGATAAGGTGTACCAAAAACGGCGGCGCTCCGCGCCGCCGTTTTTAAGATATTCGCGAAAAACCACAAGGGGGGGGGGTGTTCAAACACCCCCCCCCCAGCAGGGCGCTGGTTAACATTGCAGTGATATGCATGCTTTATTTGCGTCTTCATATCTTACTTTTTCAGTGGAATCTTCCAAATGCGTTGGGTACCGGTAAGCGGTTTTTCCCTTCGGTATCACTTTGACTATACTTTGATCACATGTAGCTAAAATAATTGAACGTGTGCCTAAATTTATGGCGCTTGAGTTTTCCCAGCAATATCTTTTTCGCATCCTAGCAGTACCTATCCGTAAATGCCCAGCTAAACCCAAATTGGCAAAAAACTGCTAGCGACACAGGTGGCACGTGAAACTTCCTGGGTTAGTTGTTTTTACCTCGCATCAGGCCTGGAACACCACCATAAAATGTTCAAATAAGGCCAGCGCTCTCCCATAAGGGTGCAAGCGGCAACAAAGGTGTCTGGTGTGCGCGCGCCCCGGCTCATACCAACAGCCAAGTGCCGGTACGTGACTCGATTTCGGCGTGTGGCGGCGGTAACAGGGCGGAACTAACCGGCCGCGACCACTTCATAAACAGGGCTGGCGGGTCGCCGGCGGTGACGGACGGCGCGCCGTGCGCCCGCCGGCTCCGGCGGCAGGTCATGGCCCGCGCACGGCGGCGGACTGACTAGTGGGAGGACACTACCACTATCCCTACCGACACTACCGGCTCCCAGAAACGGCGGGACAGCGGCCCCCGTTCAAACAGAAGCTGGTGACCGTCCCGAGACCTCCAGATCTCGCCAGAAGAGCAATTGAGTGCTAGCTACCAGTGGAAGCTGTTTTGTGAACAGAAAACTGACGTAAAGTTTGACTCATGCCAGAGTCATGTTTCCACTTATCATGCTGGATGCATGTTACCACCTTCGTGATTGATTAATGTTTCCGCTTCTGATTATTATATTTTTCTCTATAGATTCCGTTTATGGCGATGTATGTACTCTGTAACGAAGGATAGGTGTTTTTGATCTGAACAGCAGTGTCGTTGCGTCACACAAGTAGGTGGCAGCCCATGCGCTTCAGAAATCATTCGGAGGCGTTGGCGAACTATATCCTTTGACTAGTATGAATTGCAATCGGACATCCTGCCTACTCGCGTTCCGGCCAACTTCTCAGTCGTCGCCCACTCTGACATTTGCGTATGCCGGTTTAAACAGTGTCGCACTCATTGGGCCGTTCCATGGGCGGCCCGGCCATACAATCTTCATCTGGACAGGTTACGAGGCCCCGGCGGTCCGGCTGCCGCCCGACTCTGGCGAGTTGGCGGCCGCGCGCCGGCGCTGCTCCACTATTGCCGCCGCCGCGCCATCGTCGCCTCGGCCGCGCCGCCGACATTACTGCAGCTTGGCGAACGATTACCCCGGCGACCTTTCATTTGGTGGGCCTCGCCGCGGGCTCGGCGGCGCTCGCTGGTGATCCCGGGCTAGCGAGGTTCAGGGGGGCCGCCGGCTGCCAGTCGGCCCCCGCTAAGTCCTCCTCATAAGTATTCGCGCCGTATATCAGCAGATGAGTCTGGAAAGCTGCGAAGAGATCCATCAATTGAGTGACTTTATCCAGCGATGGTGTCTGAAGTGGAGTTTCCTAGTGTAATTGTGTTCGAGCCATCAAATTTGCAAGCTGTGACGAGAGCCAACATCAAGACACTTGCACCAATTTTGCATCGCCAGTAGCATTGCCTTCATTATCTATGAGGACTTTGGAAGGGAGTAAAGACGACAAGTAAAGACGACTGTAAACGATTGTGCCGTATTCAACTAAAACAGCATGGTCACTATGAAAATGTAACTTTTCACTTGTTACGCAAATTATAAATAGGTACGTGTTCGGGTAAGTGCCACTATTCAACAGTCAACAACTGTGAAAAGCAAGAGATCAAGCGTGTGCGCTGGGCGTATGCGCATTACAAAA